ACATTGTACTCACATGTTAAGCATGTTTCTCGTAAAACAGCAGCAGCCACCGCAGCAGCAGCAGCAAATGCAACAACAGCAAATGCAGCAGCAGCAGCAGATTCAGATTCAGCAGCAGTCGTACGGAAGCTACGGAATGTGAGCGTTCTCTGATGCATCACACCAAGTACGTAGCATTTCCCCTCCTGGATTTTCCAACGTTTTTTTAACCCATCTTTCTCCTTCCATTTCACTATTCTCTACGTGCTGTTCCTCTTGTTTTGTTCTTTATGCATGTATTTTTTGATGTTCCTCTGTTGTTGTTTCTTCTTCTTCTCTGTGCTCTTTCTTTATAGCTCAGTTTTGCGATTTGGGGAGAGTACTCTCCAATTCGTCATGTCATCTTCTATTCCCTCTCTTCTCAGCCGCGGAAGCCATGCGGAGCTTCTACCTCAGTAGTACTAGTTCTTGGAAGCAGTAGTTTTATTCTTTTGTTTGTAAAATAGATTGACAATCCTACACCCACCCCCTCACATCACAAATCACTCCTGTCAACACTTTTGTTTGGACTTCTTCTACACTTCACCTATTCTTGTCTTGTTGTGGTCGGCACTCTCTTATTTGTGTCTCATCAGAGTCCATCTTCCTTCCACGCAAGATGTTCATTCTTTGCCTCGCTGGTACGTCACACCCTCATCACCATCAACAAGCAAAAGGGTGGGTTTGGGTAAGGACGAGAACCGACTGACCAGTTATCGTTTTTTGGATTGGTCCTGTGCTGTTGTTGTTGTTGTTGTGGGGGGTGTGGCGTGCTAGCACTGGTGGCGCACAACACGCCCCCGTGGTTCGGGACCCAAGGCGGCACTAGTCCGGGATCGGGGTGACCTGTTGTACGAGGGTCCCTCAGTCCCCGAATATCGAGCGCGTGTCCGCGCCCAACTGGACTTGGGGGTCAACTAAGCGTCTATGTCACTCGATGGCGACAACGCTTGGCTCGGCGCTGGGTATCAACCAGCGCCGGCTGCAGGCTCCCTTCGTGTCCTCACACATCACCCCGCCCGCCTTCACTCTCCTATCGGCTCTCAAGGCCTCGTCAGTTGGCTTGTGCCTTTCCCATTGTGGGACAGCAAGGTTCCTTTTTTGGTACTTGAAAAAACAATTCCGAAAAAAGAAATGGAACATTTATTCCCTCTAGGGCCATCACTCTTGGGAGCTGATGATTGGTGCTACAGTGAGCGCGCCCTCGCCAATGACTGCATATTCCTCTGCATACCCCTCAGTACAGCAAGGGCAGCAGCAACAGAGGAGGTACACCAGGCCATTCCACAGCCAGTTGGTCCTGGACTTGATGGACCAGTAGACATACCAGAAGAAGCTGAGCACCATCTGGATGGCCAACCAGATGAAGACCAGCCCACCAAGCAGCAGGAAGAAGGCAGCCACATGGCACAACATCAGCACCACAAGCATGAGCAGTACATTGGCCATCACAATAAGGCCACAGGTGGCCTGGGACTGCTCTCACAGCTTCTCCTTGGCCTTGATGAGCACATCCTCAGACTCCCCACTCATGGTGGCCTTTGATCTGGGATAGTGGCCAATTGCCCCAGCTGAGGTCAAAGGTGCAGGCAAAGGAGTAGGCGCCAAAGGTGGCCACCAGGGTCAGCAATAAGAGGAAGAACAAATTGCCACCAGTGGTGATGGAGATGAAGACTGGCAGGAGGGCAAGCAGGATTGCCATCACCAGCAGCCCCTCAGTTTCATGCAAGCTCAACCAGGACATCCATAAATACTCCATGCAACTCACTGCAAGTTCTCCATTGCATCAACAGTATTACCTGGTTGCCCTGGCAAGGCCATCACTTGAAGAAGGTTGTTGGCATGGTCTGTGAGCAGGTGTTCTAGGTTGGGCAGGTTGGGGAACAAAGAGATGAGAAATCTCTTCATGCTGCTCAACAATGATGGTGATGTGGTGGGGTGGAGGAGTGCAAGTGGACTAGACTCACAGTTGGCACGCCCTTAAAAGACATGCATTGCACGTGGTGATTGGCTATCCAAGTGTGCAACTGCTACCCTGTTGTGGCTCTGTCACACCATTCACAGTGATAATGATTGACACTCCCATTAGCTCATTGCGCGATTGACTGGAAATTCCCAACTGGAACAAGTCCTTGTGGAAAAAGCTGTACAGCTTTCTGGAGGTCATCAACAACAACCCCGCTCCCGGGTCACTAGTTCGGTCGAATGTGCAATTTGTCAAATTTGTGGTCTACCTTGCAACGCTACCGGTGCATAGCCTCCTACTATTTGCCGCCGACAGCGATGGACATTCGTACAGTAAAAGCTGGTTAACTTGGGCACGGTCTGAGCCACGTTGTTGCTAGATTTGACATTCAATCGAGCACAAGGTCGTTGTCAGAGCAGATGACATCGCCGCGATCGGGTGAAAACCAGGACGGCGAAGGCATCCTATCGGGCGAGTGCTGGAGCTCCACGCGAGAAGGAGCCGCGAGCCTGTCCGAGCTCGCAACGCCGATCTCAAGCGCAAGGCCGAGTGCCCCAATTTTCTCGAGGGACCAGCGGCCGAGGACTGGCGGTGAGCACCATGAGTGGCGATGGGGGGACTCAACATCCACCTTGCATTGGACAGTCCTGGCCAATCGGGTGGAAAACTGAACTTCACAGAAAGCCCCATGACATCATTGTCCGCGTTGGTCGTCACTCGACTTGTCGGGGCGGGGAATAGGGACAAACCTTCGTTCGACTCTTTTTTGTTTCGCTTCGTTCTTTCTCTTATGCATCAACACAGTTCTGTCTTCTTCTTCGTGTTCGCGGTGGCGGCTGGCCTGATGTTGGTCGGCGCCCAGGCACGCGTGGTCGACGCGCAGGCCGATTCGCAGGTGCAGGCCCTCTACGACCTGTACCAGTCGACCGGCGGCCCCAACTGGATCAACAACACCGGCTGGGCCTCGCAGAACGACGACCCCTGCGGCCGCAAGGCCGGCAACCGCCCCTGGTGCGCCCCCCCCTTCTCGCTGGCCTTGAGTGAGCGGCTAATCTCCGGTCTTGCCATACTGTTTATTGGTGTTTTTTATTTTTATTTTTATTGATATGTGTCTATGTGCATATAATAAGGTATGGAGTGACGTGCGCGGGCGGGTATGTGATCAAGCTGAAGCTCGACCGCAACGGCCTGGGCGGCGTGCTGCCGGCCTCGATCAGCAACGTGCCCTACATCGAGGGCCTCCACTTCCGCGGCAACATGCTCATCGGCGGCATCCCGCGCTCGCTGGGCGACATCCAGTCCCTGCGCACCCTGGATCTGGCCTACAACCATCTGGGCGGCGGCATCCCCCCGCTAGGCACCAACTCGACGAGCCTGGCCTACCTCTACCTGGGCAACAACCAGCTGGGCGGCACCATTCCGGCCTCGTTCCAGTACCTGACGGGCCTGGCCGAGCTCGACCTGGCCAGCAACCGGCTCACCGGCCCGGTGCCCGACTGGCTCGCGTCGCTGTCGCTCACCTCGCTCTGGGTGGCCTACAACTCGCTGAGCGGCCAGTTCCCGCTCAAGGTGTGCCAGTCGCTCATCCTGTGCTCGGCGGCGTTCAACTCGCGGCTCATGTGCCCGTCGATGAGCTGCACCTGCGGCGCCATGCAGTCGTGCAACTGCAACAACATGTGCCAGACGTCGAACGACTGCACGGGCCTCTGCACCCGATGCGTCGGCGCCTCGCCCATCATGAACGGCTACTGCCAGTGATGGCACACGAGACACACAACCCGCGCGTCTGGTGTGAATAAAAAGATGATTAATCATCACACCAGCAAAGCGCGTAGGACAGTTGGTGCAGGTCAGGAGTTGTTGATGGTGCCGGGCTTTCGGGCGATGGTGGAGCCAGGGTCGATCGGACTGGCGAACGGGTTCTCGGCCCCTCTTTATCAGCACCACCGCGACCACACCGCCGCGACCACCGCGGCCAGCACCACCAGCCCCACCAGCCCCACCAGCCCCACCATGACCATGTTGCGGTTTAATTATTTTTCTCTGGCCGTTTCTCGCTACGTTGCGTGCTTCTTTTCATTCTCAACCCAATCAATCGCAATCGATTGTGAATGTCCCACACCGAATCGAGCGTCAAGAAGAGCGTGCGCCGCATCGTCAATTCGTGCATTGTTTCTCCCAACGAGTGCAGCAGCAGCAACAAGAAGATGAGCCAGTACATTAGCAACGTCCCTGTGGCCCCTGAGGATCCCATCCTCGGCATCAACGTGGCTTACAAGGCCGATCCCAGCACTGACAAGCTCAACCTCGGCGTCGGCGCCTACCGTACTGAGGAGGGACTCCCCCTCGTCCTCAACGTCGTTAGAAAGGTACCACCAATCTTTTTTCTTGTTTATTGTGTTATCACGATCGCTGGCTTTGAAAGCGGTCAAGATCGCGTCCAATCGTTTGAATCAGTTGTCTCACACTTCCATTTCGCAACGAAAAAGGTGGAGCAGCTCGTGGCCAACGATGTGAGCCTGAACAAGGAGTACCTGCCCATCGAAGGTCTGCCCGACTTCACCGCCCACACCGCCAAGCTCATCTTCGGCGCTGACTCGCCCGCCCTCGCCGAGAAGAGGGTTCCGCCCCACTCCTCACCCTCTACACGCTGCCCTTTTTTATTTTATCCATTTATTTCGCTTTTGCGTAGACTCACGTTTTCATGGTGTACTCTGCAGGTGGCGACCGTGCAGGCCCTGTCTGGCACCGGTGCGCTCAGGATTGGAGCCGAGTTCCTCGCTCGCTTCGCCCCCGATGGCGCTGCCACCCCGGTCTACATCTCCGATCCCACTTGGGGTACGCCACCAAGCTCGCGTGCTCTCTCTAGAACCTCCCAGATCGCCCACTTACTGGCGTGGGTGCGCCGTGTATGACAGGCAACCACACCAACATCTTTAAGGATGCGCATATGCCCGACGTGAGGAAGTACCGCTACTACAAGGAGCAGACGCGTGGCCTCGATTTCGAGGGCTTCATCGGCGATCTTAAGGTCTGTGTTTGTCACCACCACTATCTTGTTTATGATTAGTATTATTGTGCTTGGGTTGGGCCTGTTGCGCTGATGACTTCTGGCTTGTTTGCGTGGTGTGCAACCAGGCGGCTCCCAATGGTTCCGTGTTCATTCTGCACACCTGTGCGCACAACCCGACCGGCGTGGACCCCACGCTCGAGCAGTGGGAGGCCATCCTCGACGTCATCCAGGCCAAGGCTCACCTGCCCTTCTTCGACACCGCCTACCAGGTACGCCGAACCAAAGCTATTCTGTTTTATTATTATTATTATTATTATTTTTATGTTATAATTGTTGCCTTACGCCTGCGGGTGGTCTGACAACAATCGACGTGCGCAGGGTTTCGCCACCGGTGATCTCGATCGGGATGCGGCTCCCGCGCGCATGGCCATCGCCAGGGGCATGGAGCTCTTCGCCTCGCAGTCCTACGCCAAGAACCTCGGCCTCTATGGTGACGCCACCCCCCCCCCCGACTCACTCCCTCCAACCGGTGGCGGTGTTGTCTCACCAATCCAATCGTCGTCGTGGTGGTTTGTTCGGGGACGCAACAACAGCCGAGCGCATTGGTGCGCTGAACATCGTGTGCCGGGACGCGGCCACCGCGGATGCCGTCAAGAGCCAGCTCAAGACCATCATCCGTCCCATGTACTCGAACCCGCCGCTCCACGGCGCCCGCCTGGTCTCGAAGATTCTCAGCGACAAGTCCCTCTACAACGAATGGTATCATTGTGTGTGTGTGTGTGTGTGTGCGTGTGTGCGTGTGCGTGTGCGTGTGTGTGCGCGCGCGCGCCACTGAGCATGGCTGACATAACAACCACCGACAGGCTTGTGGAGCTCAAGGAGATGTCGGACCGCATCAAGCGCATGAGGCACGAGCTGTACGACGCCATCAAGAAGAACGGCACGCCCGGCACGTGGGAGCACATCATCGACCAGATCGGCATGTTCTCCTACACCGGCCTCACCAAGGCCCAGTGCGAGGTGATGATCAAGAAGCACCACGTCTACATGATGACCAACGGCCGCATCTCCATGGCCGGCCTCAGCAGCAAGAACATCCCCAAGATGGCCGCCGCCATCCACGACGTCGTCGTCAACGTTCAGTAGAGAGACGACCTGCTTCTCTTCCTTCAAGGAGACATGTCTCGTCCCTCACGCAATACAGACATGA